TTCGTCTCGATAAAATTTAGAAATCTATTAAATTATTTTATATTATACAATTGCTAAAAAAATTGACAAGTTTTTGTAGGTTTCCATGGGATTTTTTTTAATTCATAATTGTTCTTCTTATTTTATATTACTTATGAATTATATTTAAACTTTTATCACATTTTCTATGGGATTGTGATATCTATGAGATTTTATCAAATTTTTTAATATGTCACTGTCTCCTATATATTTTTCTTACATTTGTTTTTTTAATAGTTAACTTTTATTAAAAACATACTAATGATGTTAATTTTTTTTTTACTTTAGTTAACTTTCATTTGTTGTATTCTTATATATTTTTTGTGACTTTTTTAGTTTTTGTTTCAGTTTAATATTGAATTTAGTTCACATACTTTGTGTATATATTTTAAAACATAATTTTTCTTTTAAAAAATTAAGCGACAAAGAGCCTAATTAAACCGATCCAAAAACAAACAGAACTGGATATAAATTGAACTGGACATAAACCACACCAAACCAGACTAAATAAAGTTTACTTCAGTTGAAAAAAATATATTAAAACCGAACCGAAAAAGTAATGATTTGCCCACCCCTACTGCATCCTAGAGATTTACGCAAATCTTGTTTCAACATTGAAACTCTCACTTATTCCACTAACTCACACATTTGAACTCAATAAATATTTTTGTCTCAGCATTATACTATATTTTTATACCCGCACAGGGTGCGGGTGGGTCACCTAGTTTAAATTAAAACCAACATAATTAAACACACATTAGTATTATTTCATCAATTATCACTGACCATATATTAAAACTTCAATAAATAAGCGTATCTTATGGGGATTGGGATATTGAATTCCTCCCAGTTCACAATCTTAAATACATTTAATACACAAACGTACTTTGGAGTCTTCACCGACTCTACTCGGGATCCTGCCACATATTTACCAATTTCAAAAATGTCTGGTAACATTTAAAAAAATATATATTTACAGTCTGTCTCTCCCATGCAATTCTTCTTCTTACCTTTTATTTTCACTCGCAATCGCAAATAAACTGAAAAAGCTTATTTTAAATTGCACTTCCTCTGTATACAACCATTTTTTATGTGAAGGCTTAATATATACAAAAATATATAATGTTTTACTTTTTCTTAGTTTTTTTAAAATTGATGTTATATCTTTAGTTGATGCATTCGCTTTAAAAGTTAATAAACTAAAATGTAAAGATATAAGTTTTGAATTTTTTTGAAATCAAATAAATTTTTAAACTAACTAAAAGTAAAACCAAAAGTAATAGACAAAAGTAAAATTTTGTTTTAAAAAAATATTTTGTAAACAGTTAACATCAATCTTTTGTTTATTGTGAGGGAGTATATTATTAAAAGGAGTTTTCAGATTTTCTCCAATAAATATACTTATTTATGAGAAATTTCATAGGATAGAGCTAAATTTTTTTTGTCACAAATATATATCTTCAAAACAAAAATAATCAAAATAGACTTAAATGTTTTAACTAATCCTAAAAAAATTTGTTTAGAGTTGTGGAATGGACTTTGAGGGATATGATTTCAAATTTTTTTTAAAATAAAATAAAAATTGAAAAATTTTAAAATAAAAAAATATTATTTTTATCATTTTAGTTTTGAGGTTTATTTTTGTAATAAAGTTTTTAAAAAGTATATTTGAGAATTGCCCTTATTTATTGTACTAGATATGGATCCGTGCGTTGCACGAGTTTCAATTGATGTTTTAATTTCATGAAAAACATAAAAATGAAAAAAAAAATTGCAATCGTTGGATTTTTTGCATATATTGTGTGAAACTTATTTTAGAAATAAAAATTATTTTCCACATAAGTTTTCGTTAGTATTTATGTTTCAGCAATTTTTTTTTTTACCGACAATGTTTCAGTAATCATAGTGCATAAAAAATATTAACAATTTTAAATTTATGGGTATAGAAAAAATTCAAACCAAAAACTTTAAATTGAATCTAACCCTGAAAAAAATATGAATTAGAATAAAATATAATAAATTAAAAAGTGGAATCAAGGCAGTAGAATCGGTGAAAATATACATCTTAAAAGAAAATATAGTGAATAAAATTTCATCTTTATATTTAAAGACAAAATAGTCTTACTCTATATTTCTATAAAAATAAAAAATTCGATTACAAAATCATACAATTAAGCCTTCAAAATTCATATTTATTATCTTAAGATATATATCAAAAATCATCATCAGCTTAAGAAGAAAAGAACATGAAAATATTTAAAATAATTATTCAACAAATACTTTTTGTTTAGGATTTTTAAAAAACTCTTAAACATTCTTTAATAATTTTCTTATGTTCAAGATTTTAGAAACAGACAATTACTATAAAATAGCTTTTCAAATACCTTTTATGTGAAATTTGAAAAAGGAAAATTAGTATCAAATAAATTATTTTGCAAATCTTTGTTTGTTTGAATATTTTTAGAGAAAATGGTTTAGAAAAATTGCTATTAAAAATTTTAAAACATTATTTTTATCTATAAAATCATTTTCATTTTCTTAGTATATATATTTTGTTAATATGATATATTTTTACATATATAAAATTCTAATAGAAAATTACTATCAATAATATTTTTTAGGCTTTTAGAAAAGGAAAATTGATAATAATCTATTTTACGAATAGTTTGTTGTTTTGGATTTGTAAAAAAAAAAAGAAAACTACAATTAAACACTCTTTATTTTTTTACTTTTAAAAAGTATTTAAAATTATTATTTTCAAAGTTAGTTTTTATTTTAAATATTTGTGTTTAGGATTTGTAAAAAGGAAAACTACAATTAAAAACTTCTAGCTTCTTTTTTATTTTAATTCTAAACAATTTAAACACATGCCACAATATTAAATGGAAAATTACTATTAAACAATTTTAAACACTTTTCACTTCTTCTTTTTACTTTTAAACAATTTTTAAAATTAATATCTTCAAATTTTGTTTTTATTATCTTTGTATGTTTATATTAAAAATAATCATCAGCTTAAGAAGAAAAGAGCATAAATAATATTTGAAAGAATTATTCTACAATTTGTTTTTGTTTAGGATTTGAAAAAATTAAAACTAATATTAAACTCTCTTTTATAATTTTCTTATGTTCAATATTTTAGAAAATGACAATTACTATAAAATATTTATTTTCATTATCTTAGTATCAACTAAACTGTTTGTAAAAAAAAAAAAAACTACAATTAAACACTTTTTTAAAAAAAAATTTAAATAATATTTAAAATTATTCTTTTCAGACTTAGTTTTTTTTTATTTTAAATCTTTGTGTTTATAATTTGTAAAAATAAAAACTACAATTAAAAAAATATTTTAGCCTCTTTTTTATTCTTTTAATTTTAAACAATTTGTAAAGCTAATTTTTTAAAAATTCTTGTTTTAATCTTAGTATATATATTTTTAATCATGAGACTTTTAATACATGCCACAATATTAAATGGAAAATTACTATCAAATGTTTGTTTTTGTAAATATCCTTTATTTAGGATTTTAAAAATGGAAAATTACTATTATATAATATTTTTAATTATTTTTTTAACAAAATTTGTTTTTGTTATTATCTATATATATATATATTAATTATGAAATAGTTTAAAATTTGTCACAATCATAAATATATAA